ACGGTTGCTCTGGATCGTTTGATGTTTTCCCCCAATCTTAGGCTTAGTCTCGTTTCAAAAAGGACTCTTGTAATTCGTTGACCTGCTCCAAAAGGGTCAGTTTTAGGCATCTCTACTGATGTTTCAGCAGAACATTCATGTCTTTCACAGATAGATTGAATTGTGACTTTGATTTGTTGTTGACACAGGCCCCATGCTGTATTTTCTCCAGTTATCGAAGTTGTATCAAAATTAAAATACTCTATAGTTTATTGTTGTAAACGTGACGGAATCCATCTATGCCATAAAGGATGAGACGTAAAAAAAAAACACGTCATGTAAAATTAAATGCTCCGAGACTGAAACGTTCGCTACTCGATTATAGTACTTTTACTCAAACGTGCAGCGCAGCCTCGATAGTCGAATTTCAACAGTAAAAATAGGCAGTTCTTTAACAATATGCTATATATATGCCCCTTCTAGTGTACAAAACTACTCTACACGTGAAACTTTGTTCCAAAACTCTCTTCCCTTTTACCTACAGAACTGAACCGAACACCTGATCATAGATGGCGACTTTAATTGCGTCGAGAACAATAAAGATGCAACTGGCGCAAACAGCAATAGCTTGTCTCTCAAAAGTTTGGTTAATGGCATGTCTCTTATTGATTCCTGGGATGTTCTGTATGCTAATCAAAATGAGTTTAGTTTTATTCGTCCTAATTCCGCTTCTCGACTTGATACAGTGTACGTCTCGTCGGCCCTTGCTCCGCATCTCCGTTCGTCAGAATATCTGGTTACGTCCTTCTTCACAAAGCTTTCAAAATAAGGTCTGGCTTGCCTGATTTCGGAAAACCGTTTGGAAACTGTTATTGGTCTATTCGTGCACATGTACTCACAGACGAGTTCTTGTAAGGAGTTTTCATGCAAATGGAATCGTTGGTTGTCAGTTCATGCACTGTATTAATGATAATTTTGTCCTTTTTGGCAAGTAATATTATTTTTGACACGATTGAAGTGCATCCACTTTGATGTGATATCAAAATTAATGTTTTGCTATGTATGACAGCTAGATGACGTGGTGAATTGACTTTGCAAAGCCGAAAATACGTAGCTTTTTTCACTGGAAAACAAACGAAAAATTTCGTGAGTTTCATGCAACAAACGAGCTACTATATTGTCAATTGAAAGTTGCTTTATACAATTGTTTTCAAAATCCAAACGGAAGAATCGAGGTAAACCAGGTGAAAGCAAAAATGTTGCAGCTGCAAATTCAATTCAATCAATTCAAATCAATTTTCAAAGGCGTATGAGCGGTGACAAGTTTATTGCTGGCGTAAAAATTTGAAACTTTTAAATTAGTCACAGTATCTTTAAAAAAAAGAAGAAAAGACCAATTGCTGACTCATTCATCTGATGTGGAGAATCATGTTATTGAATATTTCAAGAACCTCTACCCCGCAGCGATCGTACAGTCTTCTACGGATATCTCATGCAATTAGACAATTCCTTCTGACTCGGAATCGAACAACCATTTGATGGATGAAATTACAATATCCGACATATTCTTTGCCATCAAGTCAAGCGCTTCGAAGAAATCACCTGGAAGTTACGGCCTGCCAAAAGCGTTTTACTTCAAGGCCTTCGAGATCATACACCCTCAATTGAACTTGATTTTGAATGAAGCATTACAAGAGAACGTGCACGAAAAATTCGTGCAAGGACTCGTGGTTCTTTGTAAGAAAAAAAAAAAACTACCGAGGAGTCAATCAAAGCGTATCGTCCAATCTCTCTATAAAACTTCCATTACAAAATTCTTGTAAGGATCTTGAAACATCCCCTCCTGGAAAACTATCTTCTATCTGCAACGACCCTATGGAGCTAGTAGTCACCTATGCGGACGACATTTCGATTATCATCGTCTATGATAACAAATTCTATCGTGTCAAACAAGCTTTACTGGATTTCGGCGCCTGCTCAGGATCAGTTTTGAACGTCAGCAAGACGGTAGCAGTCAATATTGGAAGACAACGAGGAGAACATCAACCAGCGTGGCCGGTTAGCAAGGAATCAGTTAAGGTTTTTGGTATTACCTACTTTAACTCGTTAAGAAAACTATCGATTTCAACTGGGGAGAAGCCATTCGAAAAACATCGCATCTTATGTGGTTGTTCAAATCAAGAAACTTGACTCTGCACCAGAAGGTAATTATTTTAAACACGTATATTACGTCACGTTTGTGGTATTTGGTTTCATTTCTTAGTATGCCTAACTCTGCAATTGCAAGAATATCATCCCTACAAGAGTTCCTATGGAGCAACTTACATTGCCTCTCAATTGTGGTGGCTTAAATCTTCATCTGCCCATGCACAAAAGCAAATCACTTCTGGTGAACATGAACATGCAGATTCTGCTGTAGTCTTCGCACGAGATCGTTCAGTACACATAGCAAATCCACCAAACATTGCGCTCTATCCCTGTTTAAAATATATAGAGAAAATAGTGCACTATATACCAGAGCATATCATAAGAAACCCACCGTCTGATGGACTACACAATTTCTTCCGCGACAAGATGAAGCGCCCTAAAATTGTTGAAGAAAACCCAAGCATCGCCTGGAGCAAAGTATGGAATAATATCAACAGCAAACATCTTACTTCTGCTGAAAGATCAACATTCTTCCTGTTGGTCAACCAGAAAATACCTCATGCCGACTTACTGCACCACACTAACCGACAAGACAGTCCTATGTGCCAGTTCTGTCCAAATGTTCCTGAGGATTTATAACATAAATTTTCCAGTTGTGTTCGTTTTCGAGATTTATGAATCTTTCTTCGTGTGACATTGGAGACAATCTTAGATAAAAGAGTAGGGTTTAGGGACTTCTTGATTTCTGAATTAATTAATGTTCGAAGAAGTAGTAGGATAAAGGCTCTAAAATTGTTTATATGTCACGTAAACTTTGTGTTAGATGCCGAAAATGTTTTTTTTCTGTTCAAGCTCTAGACTTGAACTAGTTTTAAATTATGAAGATGTAAACGTGTAAACTGTATTTCAAACAAGTGTAATAAATGTGTTAAAAAATGTGCTGAATTTCGAGTCTGTTACGACCAGGCATGGCAAATCATTTACATTCATTTCGTGCATTCATTTACATTCATTTGGCTCTAACTTTTTCCATCAACATAATTACGTAAAATGATGTTTGTAGCTTTCGTAGAGTTTGATATTAGGTAAACTTTTGTCAATAACTTAAATTTTTACATTTTATGCAGGACGAACTAGAGTTGGCCCAACTTGATATAGGGTTATGAAAAACAATGGTGGATTTTTTTTTCGCTCTGGTTCATCTTACATAAGAGATACAGATTTAAAATATTCACAATGTAGCTAATATCAAAACCTAAAAAAGCTTCATACATCATTTTACGGAATACTGTGGATGAAAAAAGTTGGAGGCAAATGAATGTAAATGATTGCACGAAATGAATGTTAATGATTTGCCATGCCAGGTTACGACTCAATTTTATGTCAAAATAGACTCTCGTATATGTCAATCTCAGATCACCTAAATTTAAAGTGTGCAGTATAGGCACGATATTACCTAGCCGGAGGCGGCGGTTTTGATTCCCAGTCAGGTCCGAGGAAATCTTTCGGACGGGAAATTTTCTCGACTTCCTTGAACATAGAGTATCGTTGTGCTAGCCAAACAATATACAAATGTATGCATAGGTTGGGATAGGAAGCTTTAAATTATTTACAATGAAATTAGATCTAGAACACCAAGTTGAGTGCCGGCAAAACGCTCGCTTAAGAAGTATAACAACCCATGTAACATTTCAAGTTTTATCATGGTTTTAAAGTGTTCTACAAGTCTAAATCATGGTCTTCAGAACCCTCATAAAACCCAAATTGTTACTTGGGAAGCCTAGTAGAAAAATAATATAATTCTAGATAGAGCTGGAATAGCGTAAAAATTTTGTAAACAATGATTTCTCTCGATGATCTCTAAGATTTCAAGACATGCCCACACAAACCAATATTACAGTCGGATAGGGGAAGTCTTACCCTACCTGATGGTGATGTTGATTTGCGTGAGCGAGCATTGACTTTCAAGACATCATCGAAAGAAGTAATTGTTTACAAAAGCTGTTACGCCCTAATTCCAGCTCTATCTTGAATTTACTGTCGCCTTAAGCAAGCACCACATGGGCAAAACATTTCCAATTCTTAAAAATATTGACAATTATATTGATGGAAATATTGATGAACATATTGGCATTTTCCCTTTCTGTTTGACTACAGACTGTTACTCACTCGGAATGTTCCATCAGACACAACAATGTTAGTAAGGAGCAACCCTGTATTGATCACCCCCCGAAAATATTGTTGAAAATATTGACATGCATATATTGATGGAAACCTCTGTCGTGTGGGGTGCTTTTAAGATGCAACCTAAAATTTCGTTGTTCAGACAAGTCACTAGTGAACATTTTTCAGTCTGTTCCGTTCTGATTTCTCTCCAGTTCCTCTTATTTCCCACAGAATTCGTTCGCATCTATCAGAGATTGCTCCTTCACGGAAAATTTATTGCTTCGACCCGCGCAATGTGAACCACATATTTCAACCACAATTATTCATATTTCATGTTTGGGTCGACGGTGGCGGCTGCGGCTCTCTAGGTCCCATTCATTCTACTGTATCGCCGCCTGTAAAAGACTCTTAAACACCACACGAGGGAACGCCCCCTTCCATAACTCATAAAACGCAAAGATCCTTCGAGTTTGTTTCTGTTTGTCACCAACCGGAACGGCTCGGAAAACATCTTGTTCGAACTTATCCATAAAAAGCAAAGAAAAATAAAGACACTTGTTGCGCTGCGCTTCCTAACCAAACGACGACGACGACGGGCTGCAACCAAAATCATATGAAGATTAATGATTCGGTTATTGTCGTTTATGTCTTATTGTAACCTTCCTTTTCTTGACTGGTTTCCTCTTTTATTTTCTTTTATTTTTCAGAGTATTCGGCTCGAGACGATGTTCGAAATGTCTGGCTTCAATTAGTTCCTCCGAGTTAGTTATGCGAGCTCGACACCTAGTTTTCCACATACGGTGCTTCTCCTGTGCGATCTGCAATACCCTGCTGAACAAGGGCGACCACTTTACGATACGGGACTCGGCGGTGCTATGTCGGTAAGTGTCCGCACCCTCCGAAAATGTTTCTCATTACATAACCCTCTCAATGTTTTCCTTTTTCATCAGGTCCCACATCGACATCCCGCTGGATCCGGGGGCACCCATGCCACTGGCCATGCAGTGTCAGTATCCCAGTCAGTATGGAACCTCCCCCAGTGCACCGTTGAGTCCGAGCGATTCGACCGGAAGTAGTAAAATGCCACCGGCCGGGTACTTCTCGCCCCACCACACCGTTACCGCCCTGCCGCAACAGCCCCGCCAGAAGGGACGACCCCGGAAACGGAAACCGAAAGACATCGAAGCAATGACCGCTAGCTTAGGTTAGTACCGGCTCAGAGCCATCCTCAGAACGGTAGACCTCCCCGATAGTAAGTTTCGCGTGCATATGCAGATAAATCCTAGGGTCTCTGAGCTTCTGCCCCTGGATAGTCACGCTCACGCTCCGATCGACGGTGGTAGATTAGAAGTCAGTGCAGCGTACAGAGCAGAGAGGATGGAATATTTATTGAATGGGGTTTTGCCCTAGTAGGGTATACACTGAAAAGTGTGCGATGGGTGGCTTCAGTAGTGTGCAGTAGCATCCAGAGGGTAAATAAATACATATTTAATGCGCGGTTCGTGACGGCAGAAAATATCTGGCTCCTCCAACTTTCGCGTGTGGCAATTGCTAGAGCGATTGCTATCGATAATTGTTTCAACGGCAATTTGACCTCTGCGCTGTGCTGCTGCTGTTAGGGGGAAATGGAGCTGCCACCGGTGTGGGCGGTGCCTGTTGGGTGTTTGAACAAATGTTTGTCGTATCAGAGCAAACGGTTGGAAATTATTCTAGTAGATTTATTTGAACCGAATCGATAACTACGGAATTCCATTGACAGCTGTCGTAGTCATCGAATGAAATCGTGTTATGATCTTAAAGTTTGTTCCGGTTTTGGCCGAGCAATTGTTGGTCCAGGATTTTTGTGGACACTGATAATTTTTAGGGCTCATTATGGAATTATGTCCGTTGGCTTGGATTTACTGTTTAAGTTTGTCTCTGATTGAAAAAAAGAAAATTAATTTCAGAAATACGGCAAATTAGTCATGTATAATTGTATTTTTTTTATAAATGCGTTTATTTTTCCAGGCTTATTTGCCGTAGCTTTGCGGAGCCGATATTCATTGTTTAGGTTACAAAATTTCTTAAAACTAACGTTAGTAAAGCGGGGGCCGATTACTACATAATTGTATTTGTATGTGCTCTTTATACGCTTTTGGGACCATTTGCTCAATAAACTTTTCCAGAAATTTGCAGGCATAAATAAAACTTCATAAAGGGTAACAAAGACCTTGACGTATGGATTCTTATGCTGTATCATAGGAATAGGTATATATAATAACTATGCATATTTTTTTTTTATTTTTTTTTTGGCTGAAGGTTACGTCACATCTTTTGGATAGGTTTTCGATTAATTTTCTTGAGCAAAAACCCCGGTTTTGGAATAGGGCTTCGGGGTAGGCCTAAGCTAACCCTACATAAAAACTCGAAAGTTAAGCATCGAGTAAGACCAAACGCAATTTGAGCAGAATTAAGTTAGCGTGAAACGTTAATGTGACGATTTAAATAAACAGCAGAACTCACAGTAGTGTAGAGGGTGCATGGTGCTGCCATTAATAAACCTTCCGATGTCCACATTACAGAGTATGTTCATGCTCTGAAACATTACAAATTCTGTTTACATGTTATGCAAATCTGTAAGATAATCTTACATTTCCTGGTTGGGTGTAAACCACTTTATCTGTTCAATGTGTAAAATCTTCCTAAAAATTTCCTGCATAAAACTGGTGCACTTTGTTCTATAAAAGCGTACCCTCAATTTTGGGTAGGGCATCTCCAATTTTAGAAATCGCCGGTAACCCACAATTCGTGTTCCACTGTGCTCGCAGGCTTTTAGATCAAATTGATCGAATCTGGATCTAAGATATATGCCAGACTTTAAAACTCATCCCTTTAAAATCATTGTTACCGTATTTTCCTTTCCTTCATAGTTAGAAAATTTTACCGACTTCGGTAATTTTTGATCGAAATTTCAGCTGCTGAACTGTTTTGTAAAAATCACGCATCTCGATTTAATGGCATAACAAAAATGCAATCTTCGCCACCATCAGTATATAAAGGTATTTTTTACAAGACGGAAAGCCTCTTGAATCTAGTTTTCGTGGCTCAAATTAGAGTCAATGTATTTCCGAAACAGCCAGTAGATGAAATTTCGGTAACATTTTTTAACTAAGTCGGCAATATTTTCTAAGTGTGTTTCAAGGTTTGAAGAAATTAAAGTTGTATTTTATATATTTCAGTTCTCAAAGGATCATGTAAGTAGAAATATTGTGTATTGTTTCATTCAGTGAAACATTCTTTAAGTTATTTTCTTCGAAATCATATTGAATACATGAGAATGTAATTCCCCTGTGGTAAAATAGGTAATCAAAATACGGTTGTTGCTTGCATTCTATCTGTTGAACAAAACACATTTAAAATCTTTCTTTGTTAGAACAACTGGTCTAATACGGACACCCTTTTTAATTCGATTATGTTTTAACATTAGTATACACTGAACGTTCTCTAGCTCAAATGTCTTTTAACTAAATGCTGCTCAATTATTCAAGTTCCAGTTAAGGATACGATTGACAGAATCCTTTTTTCATTAAATTTGTTCACCAAGTTGCGTTATCTTGGGCCCACGGCTAGCAATCCACATAACCCAAGTAATCACCAAGCCCGCTAACTACCCGATAATCTTTTTTATACTTTGTTTTAGAGATTTTTAGCCGTAGCCTAGTTCATCTCTTCTACTCGATAATCGCCCTTTTTACGATATAAGGTAAATATAGGGTTTCCGAACATTATATCAGTCGTATACTGCCCATAAAAGCATAACAGCCCCATATGAATAGGAAATCAAGCAAAGATGGGACAACTATGCTTTTATGGGCAGTATATCAGCCTTATATTGCTAAAATGGGGATTAACGGGCTGGTTGGTTACTTGGGAATGTACGAAGTTCAACATGTATTTGAGCGTTTGCTGCAGCGAAGCAAGTAACGTGCTTAATTTTCAGATCTGCATGACTTCTGGATGTTGAGAAGTGCCTATGAAAGCTTGAAATTAACTTATTCGCATAGTTTCTGACTTAGTAGAGGGGTGTGGCGAGCTACTTTTGTTCCCCCTCTCCGATTTCTGTTTCTCTAGGCTCTATCAAGGTGATTAATCATGAATTTTCGAAATGGAATTTGAAATTGCAATCCTCAAGTAGGGATCGAATGCTCAGCCATATAGATGCGCTATTGAATGAGTTTTGTTAATTGGTTCACAACCAACAACAATCATTGGTTAAAAATTGCGTTACTGCATACCTGAAAAGTTAAGAATTAAAAAGATTTTCAAAGTTCAGACACTTATACTACATTTTCCAACTACCTGCTGGAAGCTTCGCCATTCAAACAATTTCGTAGCTGTTAAATTTTAAGGACCCCCGGTAATCTGACTGTTCTTAATCTGAACACTTTTTAGTTCGAACCCCGCTAATCTGCATGCCGTGCAATATAAAAATTAAAAACTACTCAAACGTCATCTAGGACATGGACTAGAGTAAAACAAAACGGAACGCAGATTCAAAACAGAACAGTGAATAAGACTACCAGAAACTCAAATTTCTAATAGCCATAGGGTTACTAAAAGTTCAAATTAAAAATAAACCCCGTTAATATGTATGAAGTTTATTTCAGATTAACGAGGATTTACGGTATTGGAGGATGTTTAGATAAGGGGCCTCATAGCCTAGTCAGTTAAGGCACGGTATTACCAAACCAGAGGCGGCGGGTTTGATTTCCGGTCCAGTCGAGGGAATCTTTCGGGTTGGAAATTCTCTCGACTTCCCTGGGCATAGAGTATCATTGTGCTTGCCACACAGTATACAAATTCATGCATTGGTATTGGCATCGAAAGCTCTTAATTAATAACTGTGGAAGTGCATTTAGAACACTAAGTTGAGAGCACGCAATAAGCTAATATGCGCTAAGCAATAAGCTTGAAATGCGAACAAGAAGAAGAAGAAGAAGAAGGATGTTTAGATAGCGCAAAAATCACCCTTTCATACCGGCGCCACTCTAAATTTGAGGAACATGCGATCAGAACCATTTACCCAGAAACTGGCTAGATTCTTCTCATCATTACAAACTACCCAAGTAACCACCAAGTCCGCTAACTACCCGATAGTCGCCCTTTTTGCGATATAAGATAAATATAGGGTTTCCGAACTTTATATCAGTCGTATAGCAGCCTTATATAGCAAAAAGGGCGATTAACGGGCTTGTTGGTTACTTGGGTAGTTTACCCAGATTTTGACAACTCCTTACTGTACATAAGAATTGATACCATCTACCCAGTCTCTGGGTAGGATCTGAATAGCGTGTAGAAAAAGAGAATCCTACTCAATTTAAGTTGTTTTCATGGACCGTGTACAACCAACATCTGTTAATTTCTCTGTTATCTAAACATCTAAACTATCTGCACGCTATTTTGAGGCTACTAATTGACTGTGTGGATTCCACTCATTTTTGCATGCTGCATGGAGTTGTCAAAAAATTAGTAAACTGGTATTGCTGCGATGAGTGGGATCTACCCAGATTCTGGGTAAATGGTTCTGATTCCCAGGTTCTGATATAATTGTTTCCTAAGTTAAAAATGGCACACTTTGAAGTAAAGTATACAACTCCAACAAATAGTTCATTGGTATCAATAAATACAGAATTATTATGTTCATGTTTTTTTTTAAATATTCTTCCTGGACGAAACAATTTATATGTAAAGCATTCATAGGGCATTCATTCGTTTTTATCGAAATGGGTAACGTTTACTCAGATGACAAATGTCATCATCTGAGTAAAAGTTACCCAGCTTCCTCCATAGGAACGTTTACTCAAATTTGAGTGAAATCATGTTTACCCATTTTTAGGTAACTTCCCTTTTGGCTGGACTGAGTGATTTTCGACTCAAAAATAAGTAGCCTTAAAAATAGAGTGTGGATCGTTTTATTTGCGGATTTATGATTTCTCGCGTAACATTTGAAAAGGGCTTATCCTCGTTGATCAATTCTCTTCATCGACTTTCTCTTTGGTTTACCACGGCAACATAAAAGAATTTCTCGCTAAGCTCGCAGCACAGTTCGACAGAAGATGATGTTAGCTTGCGCCTGAAAGGACACACTCAATAGCAGTCGGGTTATTCGCGAAAAAGAAAATCTATGAAGAGAATCGATCAACAATGATAGGCCCTTTTCTCGTGTTGCGCGAGATTTCTGGATGTTCCACCCGTAAAAAAAGAAAGAGAGGTACAACGAAATTTATTGTAACCATCAATAGAATTTATTGTACTTAATTCTTTCCACAACGGTAAAATAACATTAGAATTTATTGTTTCCACAATAGAATCTATTTTTTTCCTTCCTTTATTTAGGAGATTTTTAGCCATAGGCTAGTTCATCTCCGTAAAGGGTGGAAAGCCTTAGAAAGAGGTCCCCCAGCCACATTGCTTGGGTAAATGGGGAAATCTACAATAGAACAAGGGGGATGTTATCTGCATAGAAAGAAAAAAGCACAATTCTCGCGTTACATTTGAAAAGAGCCTATCCTCTTTGTTCGATTCTCTTCATCGACTTTCTCTTTGGTTTACCACGGCTACATAAATGAATTTCTCGCTAAGCTTGCAACGCAGTTCGACAGAAGATAATGTTAGCTTGCACCTGGAACAATACACTCAATGGTAAATTCATTTGCAGTCAGGTTATTCGCGAAAGAGAAAATCGATGAAGAGAATCGATAAACAATGATAGGCCCTTTTCTCGTGTTGCGCGTGAATTGAGTTCACTTTTATTCAACATGTGGCTTCCTTGGGGCTAGGTAAAATGAATTTAATGAAGAAAACTAAATTTTGAGCAATCCTGATCAATAATTCATTGAGTGAAAATTACGTATCAATCGAATGTTTTAATGGAGTACGAACGAAGGCGATGCAGCACACAAAAATGACAGCATCAACGGCAGTGCAGGATGCTATGACTTTTATCCAAAAATAAGTTAAAAGTACCCAACGGTGAAAATATGACGGTTGAGTACTTACAACTGAAAAATAAATTCTTTTCTACTTTGAATCGCAACGTGTTTTATTAAAATGAAATATATTGAAACATATTTCAATATATTCTTCGTTGATTCTTTTACATAACAAAATTTACAAAAATTTTACTCTAAAACAAATGTGATATCAATCAATAATGAAAAATATTATGTGTGAGCTTAACAATGATTAACAGAAAATGAACTTTGATTTGAGTTCATCTATTATTACTCAATAGATGATTCAATTTTAACTAACGCTACTTTTTTTTTATAGAACTTGAGTTGTTTAAACTTAATTTAGAGTATTTTTTTCTTACCGGGTATGTAAACCCTTTACCCAAATTTGGGTTAACGAATCTTATAGCGAATTTGTTTATTATTCCAGTTCCAACCCAGTACGAAATCGAACTTTTTGTCAGTGTGAACCTCAACCTGAGGTAGGTTTTAAAAATAAACGATCATCCTGACGTTTGTCAGAAAACAAGCAGACCCAATCTTGATACCCGATCCAGGTTGGAACTGAATAATGAAAAAAATCGCTTTTAGCGTGTTGAAAGTTTGTTTCCTGTCAGTTGCCAATGTGGTTTGTGAATAGGGATGGCAGATATAATCTACCTTTTCTTTTATATATTTGGTTCACCAATAAACTAATAGTAATTCAGACTATAGCTGATATCACGTAAAATACACACTTAGAAATAATTAATTTTAAACGTGACGGAATCCATATTTGACATAAAAGATGAGACGTAAACAGAGCTCCGAGACTGAAAAGTTCGTTGCTCGACGAAAAGTACGTTTTATAGAGCTATATTTCGCGTCTGTTATAACTCAACTTTATGTCAAAATTGACGCTCGTATATGTCACTCTAAGACCTTCTAAATTTACATAAATTTTTAAAAGTATGTAGGCTTTCTTGATATGATATTACAATACGTTATTAAGTTATTGATATCAACTTTAGGCCGGGGTTCAATCCCAGTCGGCGCTGCCGGAATGTTCTGAGACATAACAACTCTGATCACGCCTTCCTTCGGATGGGAAGTAAAGCCGTTGGTCCCCGGTTCATGAGTTGTTGGGTCGATAGGTAGGGTCCAGGTGTGGGAGCTGCCTCCCTGGTGTCGATAGCATTGGTGCTCAGCACGAGATCGAGGGAAAACAAATCAACTATAGTCTGAACGTAGTATAATGTCAT